ATCTGAGCTATCTCAATAGCCCTTAAATAAATCAATTTTTAAGAGATTATTTGTTGTATTATGTTGACATTTAAGCCATAGGAATTAATTACTTATGCACTAATTCAAGTGGGTAGCTCTCATTTAACATCTCATTAGAATAATAATGATCCTCACTAAAAGAGCTTATCATGTTTGTTTTTTCTCCTTAATCCTCAAATTTGTCAACAACAGATGACATTACTTATGTCTTTAAGTAACAGCAGGGAACATTCACTGATGGGTTGGTTGGAAAGATGGATCACTGGTTAAGAGCATTTGGTACTCTTCTGGAGAACCCAAGTTCAATTCCTAGCACTCAGGTGGCTCATAACTCTAGCTCCAGGGGGTGTAATACTCTCTTCTGGCCTCTGAGGGCACCTTCATGAATGCATGAACATACACATACACACTTATCCACATAAATAAAAATAAACCTTAAAACAGCATTCAATGAAGGCATCCTCTATGCTGGAAAGGTTTTAGGAGTTGGAGATGAGAAGATCCGTTAAGAATGCCGAATTCCTTCAAGTTGCTTGCGGTGTCCTCTTTGGGGAAGGTAAACAGTTTCATTCAGGGATGTATGAGAGCTGGGAGGTTTGAGAGGCTCAGAGAGAAGAGGTTTGCGAACTTGGTTGTTACTGCCTGGATGAGCTTTATCACTGCAGCTTGTCCATCAGAGTGAAAACCATAGAAGGCTGTGGGAAAGTGAGTGGGCAGCCCTGCTGGAAGGACCGTGCCAAGCACAAACAAGGAAGAGAGGTAATTTTATCAATGATTTTCAAAAATCTTTTACAAATAAAAATGTACTCTGTGAGTCCTTTAAAGAAATAAAAGGTAGATGTTTCAGTAGCCCAGGCAAAGGCTTAATTCCAGAATGTGCTCAAACTATGTAAAACCTTAGGAATGCATTGTTCTTGCAGCTTCTCATCTTGACATAAACAGCTGCTGTTTGCTGTCTCTGCAGTATTCATAATAGAGTGATATGATCTCTACACCTAAAGTAAGACTGTTCCTGGTGTAGGTCAGCCCCTCCTCTCCCTCCCCCTCACAATCAGTTACCAAATCTTACTTACATCTTGCTCACTCCTACCTTTCTGTTCCCTCTCCTACATCCAAACAAACACCATGCCCTATTTATTCCAAATCATTGTGACTGCTCTTCACTACGGCCTTACCTTAACTCACAGCTTTCTCACTGCTCAATTCTGTAGTATCGATTTAGTTTCATTTCCACCTATGTGTGCATTCTTCAGACAAAACTGGTCTTTCTAAAACACAAAGCCATCTTATTGTGTCACATTCTTGCTAAAAATTCTTTAATCCTGCTTTTGTGCAGGACAAGGCTCTTGCTCATTATTATGACCTGTATAACTAAGGAGCTGGCTTCTACCCAATGCTCCTCTGACACCACCTACACCCGTGTCATAATGTCCCCTTGCCCTGTAAGAGTTCCTCGTCTCAAGGCCCTTTTCCCATTCCTCTCCATCATGGCTACAACTCATGTCACAGCAGCATTCGGTCCAGATATCTTCCCTATCAGATCTTTCATGACTCCCCCTTAAGCATCACCCTCCCTTTCCTTAAACGTTCTGTGCACTTTATGTTGTTCTTTTGTCTTTTTGAAACAGGGGTGCCCTATAGCCCCATCTGACCTGGAACTTGCTATGGAGACCAGGCTGGCCTCAATCTCACAGAGATCCTCCTGCCTCTGCCTCCCAAGTGCTGAGATGAAAGGCATGTGCCAATATGCCCAGCAAGACTTTTTTAGCATTTACAGAACTACATGTTGACAGAGAAATGCTTACAGAGAGCATTTGAGCACACACCTACATTAAATTGATCTCATTAACAATGAAATACACAGAATGTGTTTAAAAGAGGATGTGAAGGCTAAGATTGTTAAAGTGGGTACCAGCAAGATGGAATGGCATATTCAGATTTGCAGAATCGAACTGAATTGAAGTGAAGTGAAGTGGAATGAACTGAATCTGTGATGTTGGGGACTGAACATGGTTCTGTGCATGTTAGGTGCTCTTCCACTGAGCTACACCCCCAGCCTGGATCTAAAATCTAAGAAATGACTGCTAGACTAGATGTAACCATAGGTCATGTCTTCTTAGACAATTAAACTATAGCATTTCTTATCATTTACATTTTTGCCCCCCAAAACAACCAGTCCATCAGTTTCTCATAACTTCCAACTTTTCTGTTTTTTACTCATTTTTATTTCATGTATATGAGTGTATTGCCTGCATATATGCAAGTGCACCCGAGTTATGCAATGCCCACAGAGGCCAGAAGAGGGTGTTAGATTCCTCTGGAACTGGAGTTATGGATGGTTGTTAGCCACCTTGTGGGTGCTGGGAATCGATCCCGTTTCTCCTACAAGAACAGCCATTGTTCTTAACCGCTGAGCCATCTCTCCAGCCCCAATAACTTCCAACTTTTCATGCACACACAAAGAAATGTCCAGGCCTAATCCATTAAAAAATGATAAATAGGACATTTTCCTAAAGAGTCAAAGATCCTTAGATGGGCTTATTGGACAGCTGCCTTCTCACGGGACACTGACAGAGATGTCCTTCTTTTCTTCCTAATTTTGGAGTAATTTTTCTTAGCACTGTGACATATTTTTGAGACAGATCTCACTGTGTAGCACAGGCTGACCTAAAAGTCATGCCAATTCTCCTACTTCATTCTCCCAAGTGCTGGATTTACAGGTGTGTGCCACAACATCCAAAGCACTGTACTTATTTTACTTATTTGTATTTTGTGTACATGAGCATTTTGTCTGCGTGTATAAGCACGCATGCATGTCGTGTCCACAGAGGCCAGAAGAAGGTGTCGGACCTCTTGGAAATGAAGTTGTGGGTAGTTGTTAGCTGCCAAGTGGGTTCTGGGAACTAAACCCGGGTTCTGTCTTAACTGCTGAGCCATTTCTCCAGCCCAGCGCTATACTTCTTAACTCACTCAATGCTGGCCCATACTATAAACCCAGGGAACCTAAGGCTTTGGCATTAAAACTAGGGCATGTATTCCTCTGGGGATGTGGAGAGACTTTTCACAGTTCACATGGTCCCGGATAGCTTGCAGACGGCCAGTTACTAGCTTCTCAACCCAGAGTGTACTGTCTCCTAGAACCAACTTAATGCCCAAAGGTGTCCTTGCTTGAAAGTTCTTCTTTCCCACCTCCCAGTGACCCTTCTGCCACTTCACCGAGTCTTCCTACCATTCCTAGTTTTGATCATAGAGCACACAGTGGGATCTCAGCACCTCCAGAGTGCCAGACAAGGGACAATGTGAAAGCATTGCCCCAAGAGCATCCTTCCATCTGAGCTAGAGGAAGACCCCTGTCAGAAATGCCCAGGGTTATGCTTGAGTTAGATCATAAAATAAGAACTTTTGTTGGATGTGGTGGTACATGCCTGTAATCTCAGCACTTATGAGGTACACTCAAGGGGATCAGGTGTTCAAGGTAAGCCTGGGTTTAAAAGAAACAGCAAACCAAAGTGTATTCTTTCATACTGTGACTTGTATTTGGTTCATGGATTCATAGAACAGGCTTTAGCAAGTATGTCAATGGATAACAGTATTTCATAAGGTGAACAAGCCAAGTGGGCTGAAGAGTTTAACAAAAATATGTTGAAAGCCTGTTTCAAATATCCTGGGAAATATATTCTTTGTATCTATAAACTAATGGTTCTATTTAAAAGTGTGTCTGTGTGTGTGTGACTGAAATGTTTTAGAGATTTTTAAAGCATTTTAGGGGATATTGGGTTAGCCTCCCACCATTATAGCAAACACCTGAAATAATTAACTTATAAAGATAAAGTGTTTATTTTCCCTTGTGGTTTTAGACGTTTCAGTCCAGAGTTGAGCGCACCTATTGCTTTGGGCCTCTGCTGGCAATAGCAGGGAATGTGTGATAGAGCAAGCCCACTCACAGCACAAACCAGGAATCAAAAGAAAGAAGAGCAGAGGCCAGGAGCCTGCAGAGACCCCCAGACCCCTCCAAAGGTATGCCCTCAGTGGCCCAAGTCCTCCCATTAGACCCCCACATCTTAAAGATCCTACCACCTTCCAATAGCACTACATTGAGGACCAAGCCTTTAACACCTGTGTCTTTGGGGGATTTTTCAAGACCCAAACTGTCCATCAGTAATCAAAAAACTGAACTGAGAACCCATGCTTAGGAAGAAAATTCTGGACTTGTGAACTCCAGCTGAACCTACATGTGACTCTGACTTTGACTTGGCTTCCTGCTATGTAGGTAATGAGTTGTATCTGGAACTTACCCACATTAAAAGGTATTAAAGGCTGTTGGGCCTTGTTGCTTGTCCAAGAAAGGCTAGAAATGGTCACACAAAACAAACTTCTTTAAAATATACTTCTGATTTTTTTGTATACATGTGTGCAAAGGGAATAGAGAATTTTATAAGCAAACAG